AAAGCATGTTCGGGGAGGAGCCGCTGGCCTGGTAGTCCTGTTTTTCTAGGGACTGGGAAAGAGGGTCCTGTGCTGTGTGCTCCGAGAAAGCTTTGTTGTGGTGGAATGGGAGCGTGTGGTTCTGGAAATGTAGCTTTCCAAGGCCTGGGGTGGTGGGTGCTCCCAGCTGAGGGGAGAGGCGGTGGGACCGGCCTTCATGCTCTTGGCAGCTGCTTTAAGGGAACCCATTTCTTTTCTTTCTTTCTTTTTTTTTTAAATATACTTTATTGATTTTTTTACAGAGAGGAAGGGAGAGGGATAGAGAGGTAGAAACATCAATGAGAGAGAAACATCAATCAGCTGCCTCCTGCACATCTCCTATTGAGGATGTGCCCGCAACCCAGGTACATGCCCTTGACCGGAATCGAACCTGGGACCTTTCAGTCCACAGGCCGACGCTCTATCCACTGAGCCAAACCGGTTTCAGCAAGGGAATCCATTTCTTAAGCCACCGCCTCTTACTGGTCATGCGGCGTGGCCTTAGGCAGCTTTAACTCTGCTCCAGTACAAGATCTGAGCTGAGAGAAAGAGGTTTGGGGAATGCATTGAATAAAATGGCAACATTCTGAAGGGAAGAGAAAAAGCAACTATCTCACAGGCAAAAAATGAAAAGACAAGACTTAAATCTGAAAAACCCATTTGTCCTATGTTAATTATTATAGGAGAGGGTGGGGTGGGGGATGAGGGGAGAGGATAAGACTAAGATGGCTGCCTAGCCTGTCTTTCAACTTCTTCATCTAAGTAAAGTGAAAACAAAACTCTTTATCATGGCACATTAAGATGGCAAAAGAAAACAGGTAAATAAAGGTACCTTTCTTTGTTGGGTTACCATTACCATTCTTTGATAAGGGCAGCTCATGGTTCAGAACCTTTATCTACCATCATCAAAGTAAATTATTTCTTTATAGACATGGCCTACCTCCCATTAGTGTCACCAAGGTCGGGTGGATTAGGGAAAGGTAGCCAAGTGCCCAGTGTTCAGTAATACTATCCACTAAAATGAGATGCTATTTATACAATGTTTATAACAACTCTGGCTATCACAAAGCAGGCACTTGCAATTTTCATCATCATCATTATTGTAGAAATATTGTGCTTTGTTAGCTGTCATAGGGGTTTCCTATCCTAGGCAACAAATCTATATATACACTAATAAAAGAGAAATATGCAAATTGACCATACCTCCACAACACCACCAGCCAATCAGTAGTCAGTATGCAAATTAACCCAACAATGATGGGTTACTTTGCCTACGCAGGTGCCAAGCAGCCTGGGTCCTGGAGTTGGGTGCCACACCCGCAGGGTCCCGGGACCATCTCGGCCCTGGGAGGTAAGGGTGGCCACGCCAAGCCATGCCCGCAGGCTCCTGGGACCTTCGCCGGCTGGGAGGCGAGGGTGGCCGCGCAGCTTGATGGTAGACAGCAGGGCCTGCTTGGCTGTCCCCATCAGCAGGCAACCGCGGCCCATAGGCAGCTCTCAGCACAGCCTGCTTGGCCATTGCCGCAGCGACCCAGGGAGCAGGCAAGTGGGCCAGCAGGCAGCACCCAGCACGGCCTGCTTGGCCATCGCTGCAGCAACCCGGGAGCAGGGAAGTGTGGCCTGCAGGCAGCTCCCAGCACAGCCTGCTTGGCTGTAGCCACGGTGACCTGGGGGAAGGCAAGCAGGCCCCGCAGGCAGCTCCCAGCACAGCCTGCTTGGCCATCGCTGCAGCAACCCGGGAGCAGGGAAGTGTGGCCTGCAGGCAGCTCCCAGCACAGCCTGCTTGGCTGTAGCCACGGTGACCTGGGGGAAGGCAAGCAGGCCCCGCAGGCAGCTCCCAGCATGGCCTGCTTGGCTATCGCCATGGTGACCCAGGAGTAGGGAAGCACAGCTGCAGGCAGCTCCCAGCACAGCCTGTTTGGCTGTTGCCATGGTGAACCGGGAGCAGGGAAGCACAGCCGCAGGCAGCACCCAGCACAGCCTGCTTGGCAGTGTCAGCCTCACCAGATTGGAGAGGGTGCAGGTCAGGCTGAGGGACACCCCCCCCACCACCCTGTGCACAAATTTCATGCACTGGGCCGCTGGTGTGCGTGTGTGTGTGTGTGTATGCGCCTAATATGCCAAGTGCCCCCTCAGGAGTTCAACCAACCAGGAGTTTGACCACCATGGAGCGGCGCAGAACCAAGGAAGGCCCCGGCTGGCAGCTGGAGAAAGGCCCTGATCAGCCCTGATCGCCAGCCAGGCCCAGGGACCCTACCCGGGCACAAATTTAATGCACTGAGCCTCTAGTCTATCCTAATATATAAAGAGCCAGGGTCCGTAACATCCTAAAGGACTGGAGGGACGACCGAACGCCAGGCTGCGCACACAGCAGGTACGGGTGAGCGGGGACTTGTGGCAGCGGGGATGGAGGAAGGCGAGACGAGGCCCTGAGGAGGCAGCCTGTACTCCCCAGATGGCAGTGGCGGCTGTGAGCGCTCCTGATGGCCTGCAGACGCTGCTTCAGCTTGGCCTGCAGGCTCCACTTGGTGCCATTCACAGCCGCCACCATGTGCTGTGGTATAAAACAAACTGTGTAAGTTAACAGAAGTGTAGGCCCCACCTCCATGCCACACCCCCACTTCCGTCAGTCCCACTGGCCCTGGGCACCCTCCCAAAGCTGTTTCCGGCGAGGCCAGAGGGAAGATCCCACCCTTGGAGCGGCTGCGGCAGCAGTGAATCCTGGGTTGCTGCAGCGCCCACAGAGGCAGGGAGTTCTGGGTTGCTGCAGTGCCCTCAGCGGGAGGAGTCTGTGGGCCCCGCGGCGGGAGGGGGCTGTGGGTCCTGGCCATCTGGGGCACAGTGGAACTCTGGGTCTCCTGCGATCAGGGGCATGGCTGGCCTTCAAACCAGACCCTGACAGGAGGGAGGAGGGCAGGGGAGGGCAGTTGGGGGCGAGATCAGGTGGGCAGAGGAGGGCAGTTAGGGGTAATCAGGCAGGCATAAAGATTAGGGGTGATCAGGCAGGCAGGCAGATGGGTTGGGGCAATCAGGCAGGCAGACAGAGGCAGTTAGGGGCGATCAAGCTGGCAGGTGAGCGGTTAGGAGCCAGCAGTCCCAGATTGCGAGAGGGATGTCCAACTGCCGGTTTGGACCCGATCCCTGTGGGGTCCAAACCGGCAGTCAGACATACACCAAGGGGTGCTCAATTGGTGAGGGTGCAGGCTGGGCTGAGGGAACCCCCCCAGGCATGAATTTCATGCACCAGGCCTCTAGTTGATCTTATATATGAAGATATCCTTTGTCATTTGTTCTGAGGGCATAAGCAACTGTCCAACCGGTAGCTATGACACACAACTATGCTAAGTACCTGACTGTTCGACCAGTAGCTATGATGTGCACTGACCTCCAGACGGCTGACGCTCAACGCAGGAGCTGCCCCCTAGTGGTCATTGCACTCCTACAGCGGGAGCGCCACTCAGCTGACTGACCTGGCAAGCGCAGCTGTGGCGGCGTGAGCCTCTCCCATGGATACTCCCCCTGTGTGCCCCTCTCCCATCCTGACCAGGACCGGGACCGGAATCGGGACTGACCAGACGCGAGCCCGCAGTCACTTCTCGGTCATGGGTGCACCGTTATCGCCCTAGGATGGGTGTGCAGAGACTGCAGCAGAGCGGAAGCAAGCCTACTGA